ACATAAAAGAGAGACAGGTAATTTATGAAAGGAATCTTCGTGGCATTTGCACTTTGTCTATTTCCAGCCTGTTTCAGCTTTCTCGGGACCCACCCGACCTGGAGGATGGTGAGTGGGCTCCTGGGAGTGAAACCGATGTCGGATTTGTCGATTTGTCGCAGTCCAGAGCGAGATGCTACGGTGAGCTCCACGTGAGGGCTTCCTCCACGCCTTCCCACTCCGTCGTGTGGGATTAATTCAGCCATTTTCTGAAGTATTTACTTAGATGCACTCTCCTGAGTCAGTATGGACTTTGTTCATCCCATTTCCTTGAAATATGTCCACCTTCATGGGTGAACACAGGAGCGCGCTTTCTTCCAGAGCACATGTGGATAGTATGTATTTACAGAGACGTCAAACAAACAAACAAACAGACATACAAAGAACAAAACATGTAATATTTGAGCTTCCCTCCCAAAGGGAGGACAGGTGCTTCTCTGGCTTGTAGTAAACGTTGCAAGATTGGTAATTTGATACATAGCGTGAGAGTCCACTGCGGGGCGTCTCTCTTTTTTGTCTTTCTTTCTCTCTTCTCATCAGACTGTGTGTCTGGCTTGGAGAACCAGCCAGGGACCCAGGTAGTGGTGAGCCCAACAACCTGCCACACCAGACTCAAGTGACAAAAAGTCTGATTGCGCAATATTCTCAGCAGGTTGGCTTTCCACGTTCTAGAAAACGTTTTTAATGGGTTTGAGCTCCTTTCACACTAAGCACTTTGGGCTTGAACTGTCGTGCCTTGTCATGAAGTTGTGTTTTGAACTGTGGTGAAAGTCAGGATTTTTCTCTTCCTCCTCTTTTGTTTTTTTTTTTTTACCCCCCCCCCTTTAAAAACAAGATAAGCCCCGTATGCAAATAGAGTCCACAGGGACCACCACCGTCCTGGTTCTCAGCTTTATTTCTCCTGCTGCAGAGCCTGCCTTCACCCATTATGCGCTATTTGCATACCTTTAACATTAGAAACATTTATTCCAGGAATGAGTCATTGGAGGCATCTTCTGGGTTTACAGCTCGGAAGCTGGATTCAGGAGCATTAATGTCAGAAGAATGGATGTCTTCTGTATTAAAAACCTCGGGATTGTTTGTGCGTCGAGAGAGACAGAAAGAGAGTTTCTGTTTTGTTTCTGTTTGTTTAATTTGAAGAGCGAAACGTGCTCAAATACTTTAAAGATAATGCTTGAGATATATTTAGGGACATGCTTCACACCCTAAAGCAGTATTCGGTATGAATGAGACTGTCTCATTCTGTGGGGAGGGAAATGGCAGACTATATACCCTTCCTGAGCTGGCTATAACCAGCCTCTCAAACAAGAGTGAGGGCTGAGTACCTTGAGCATTTTTTTCCCCCAGCTCTACTGCGATATAATGGACACACGACATTGTGGAAGTTGAAGGTGCACAACCTGTTGATCGGATACATTCGATGTTGACAGATGTCTTTTAATGGAAAAAAAAAAAAAAGAAAAGGAAAGAGAAAGACAACCCCAATGCTTTTCTCAGAGAGAACAGGAAGCCTGAAGGAGGAAGTATGTGACAGTTTATTTTTCAACAAGCACACAGTGTCAAGTGAATGAAATCCCTCTGGAAGCTGTAAAAAAATGGAGGCTGGAAGGTGGTTGTGTTCAGGTAGCACAAAAGGCTTCTCAATATTTAGAACCTTTTTTTCAAAGCTAAGTTATTAATGAAATCCAAGATTGCACTTTTCCAAAAGGAAACACTGAGTCATTCATGAAATGATCTAAGATTTCGAAACTTGCTTACACCATTTTTTTTTTTTTTCTCCTCCTTTCCTACCTGTGCCAAAAGCAGGCTCAGAAAAGCCAACCAGTAACTGTGGCCTAAATCCAGGGAGCCGGCCAAATTAGCCAAAGAATGGAGTAATTTAACAAAGACTCCCGATGCCCCAGAGGGTTCCTGTCTCACCCCATTGGCGGGCCAGAAAGGGCCTGCCAGCCTCCCTGGGTCCAGAGCCGAGGGGCCTCTGTCCCCGCCTCCCTCCGAGGGAGCCCGTGATTAACCAGTTCTGGCACAGCGGTTATTTGGCCATACCCCTGGCCTGCCTCCAAGTTTCGTGTGGAACAACAAATGGGCGTGGGCCCCCAGATAGGCAGGCCCGTGTTCCAAGGAGGCAGTGAACACTCACGGCCAAGAGCCCTGCACGATGTGGCCAGAGCTGGGGTACAGCCGAGAACGCGTTCGAGGAGGGAATGCCAGCCTCTCGGTCCGTTTATCGAGGGTGTCTCCACTTAGGCCATTAAGTAGTGTCCAAAGACAGTCAACACGCGTGTGGGTCAGGAATAAAGTGTGAGTCAGGTCGTTCCGACCCCCTCCTCTCTCTCTTGCTGCGGAAGAGGGTTTCCAGGTACTTGATTTATTTTATTTTATTTTATTTTATTTTATTTTATTTTATTTTATTTTAT